GGAGGGTGTGGGATATGGCGTTTGGCCGTCAAGGGTGTAAGTTCGGCCGTCTGCACCCTTCCCCAGGCTCATAAATACCGACTTGGCTGGGTTGACCGGGAGAAGAACTTCTGCAGACCATGTGGTGGTCCCGAGACCGTGCCAGCTCATTATCGAGAACAACCGCGTATTCTACGCGTCAATTGACGCCATGCAAACACCGGAGAGAAAACCGGTGTCTACGGTAGCAGCGTTGAACAACACTGGGGCGTGGCTGCTTCCACAGAACATCAAATCGTTAAAAACAGTTACAGCTAGTACCTTCAAACCAATAGACACCAGAAAGAAAAGCGGCACCTTGATTGTCGCGGGCACAAATGATCCATAAGCCCAATCTAGTGCAATATGGAGAAAGCTGATTGACGATTGCAAACAAGGAGAACCCTGTCTGTGATGCGATCGGCATTTCGATTAAGCCCACAATGCTGAGATTGGTTACAAGTCACATAACTTCAATACACTACGGCCAATCTCGACTTCTTCGGTGACCCTGAGTTCCGCTGACGACAGAAGCAGTTTTACTTTCGTCTAATCGGCTCCGTAACTCATCCAATGTGGTTTACATATTTCCAAAAATCCATTGGAAAAAACGTCCAAACCGAGGAGGAATTCAGATATCTACCCGCAAGCGAACGATCATCGATTACGGAATTCCCTTGCTTCGAATTTCTTCCCCTGATGAAGCGAATGCACATTGCTGGGATGAATAGTTCTACGCACGTGCAGTGCTTTTCTTCGACAAGATTATTTACAAACGGTGGACAAGGAATTCGTTTCGTCCATCGAGAAAGTGGGCGGGCCCAGGCTCATGAAAGTGGGTTCAGTCTGTTTTGGTAAACTGGAGGAAACTGCTCAAGATGCTACCGATAGAAATTCGGTCAAAGACAGCAGGTACATGGCAACGACTGGCAAATGATTCATTGGGTTGGCTAGCGGTGCATCTTAACCATACACAGTTCTGCGACCGAACTGATCCTATGGCAACCGCAGCATCAGACGGGATACGTCAAAAGACTGGGGATCATCTGGGTCTGGTCAGCTACGTGCAACCGTGTAACTCGACAGATTGTCAAAAACATATGACTTCTCAAACAACGGCTAGTGGTCAACCTCGTAACGGTCGGCACATAATGCCGTGTTGCATAATGGATATTGAAAACAGAGAGTCAGGAAATGTGCATCTATATTGCTCAGTCTTGAATCAACATCCACTAACTAAATTTTGGCTGTCGTGAAACTGTGTTGCTTGTGCACTAACATCCTTGTCAATACGTTGGCTGAACTCAGACATCGTCATGCTTCAGATTCGCGATGTATCGAAATGCTCCTAGGAGACGTGGTTGAGCACTGAGAGTATCGACTCAGAGATCATTATGCCCGTTATGCCGGGAGGGGGAGTGATGTTTCAATAATAAACAAACATAGATGATTCTCAAATGAGTGTCATTGATTACCTTTGACATCGGTTAGGGCTAAAGGGGGCTACACTTGTCTAGTGTCGGTAGCTTAGTGTGCTTCCAAATACACTCCGGAAGCGGATCACAGACTAAGATCGGCTTATGCGTATTGTGATGCATCAGAACTACAGCCGCGACCTCATCACAGAGGAGTTCAAAAGCCATGAACTATAAACTCCGGTAGTAGATAGTTAGCAGTCCACAGCCTATCTGCAAGAGCTAATCTGTAGTACACCATCATACAATCATGTCACCGGACCTAGCAGATTCAGAACTGCGAATAATTCGTTAACGATATGTTTATTATTTAACAACAAGCAACCTATCTTTGACTGACCGTATGCGTACAGTCCTTTGGCTCGAAGTGATCATGTGGCTCCACTAGTTGCTTATATTTGCTACACCCATTATCCTGATGAGGAGCCCGAACGAGTGCAATGTGTTACATGATACGATGCCCTGTTCACATTCGTTGATGAAACGAGACGGCAAATTATTCCCGAGTGCACTCCAAGGATAACCTGGAAAACATTATTGGAAACCTTCACCTCATTAATCGCAAAACATCGGACTCCTAATCTGTACACCACTCCCTTGAACCGAACTCCTTCCTGCGAAACAGATCAAATAAGTATATGTCCCTGCGGGACCTGACATGACGAGAGTAGAAGGACTTTCTCAGCTCGGCAAATTGGACCGCGTACGTAGCTCAACGCAAACGCTGTGTACAACTGCCTCACGAAGATTTGATACACCAACAGGAGTTCGTAGAAGCATTTCGTTTGAACGACATACGTTTTCCAGATTCATTAATATCTTTCGACGAATGCAGCGCTCAATCCTGCCACTTACCACAACTGTTGAGTATATGGATATGGAGAGAGAGGTGACCAACACTGTCAATACTCATCGAAATTCCAGAGTATGTTGGGTTCGAACGTTTTTCCTGTGTCTACTACGCCAACATCAATTTCATTCAGTGTCAATTTCAATTTAACAGCGGTACTAAAACTAGTGTTATCGTTGCGCGCACACAGCTCACCTGGATCGGATCATTTTACCCGAAAGCACTGCTCACTTATTGTTTAGTCGCTGTTCAGCCGAGAATATGGTTCGGTCTAAGTAGAAACAGGGTATCACCCCTATTCACGAAGAATGTTTTAAACTGTTAATTAACTCTGTTTAACGCTTCTCACTTTGCCTACCAAAGTGATAGATGCGGGCAGTGTAGGCGCATTGCCGGTCTACCTGTAAGCCATCGTAGCCATCGTTTTCATCAATATCCTTCTTGCAATACGGACTTTTTAGTTGTACGGGAAAACTGGACTGAAGCGGTTGATGTTTGGACAGGAACTGAGGTGACCTACTTGTACATTTCGGAATCGTTAGACTGTTTGCATTATTTTTATTGCTTTGCCTGGTCATTTATGAAAACGAATCAGTTACTTTCTCTAGCGACTGCATTTAAAGTTAGAGTCCGAATATTTTACCTCACCTGGTTGAGTACTTAAGCCACATCTGTTCTTAGCATCCATTAGCTATCTAGCAAAAGTTAACACCTGAAAATGTGTGTACTTCATGAACAGTGTTAATGACTTGTGAGCGAGCAAGAGATTGGACGATCACGAGATCCTGCGGAGCGTCTCTGATAAGGCCTGGAATTCGTCGGTGAGGAACGCGTTGTCTGTCGACGTAGATAGATACCAACCTCTTCACATGTGCCATCGACACCCTTACAGCTACAGGCTTCGGGACGTAATGTCGGTGTGCTCATACAGGAAGACCTCGTTTGTCTCGGGCACTGAATCAGTCAACAAAATGTTATTTGCTTGTTTGCGTCTTGCGCAAGGCGCTCAGAATTTCGGCTTCATTCAAATTCTCTCTGATGCGCAACACGTGCGTGCGAGCCTATGTCGAATACAATTAAAGCCTGGAAACGTTGGATGAATTGTGACCTGGCAGCGCTTGAGACCACACTAAGCCGGTTAGCGAATAATATCAGTGGTTTGTGCCATCTCTACCAAGAATTCTGTGTGTTCAGTGGCCGCTAATGGCGGCTATGCGAAGACCTCCTAATGGTATACCAACTACTGATCCAGTGCCGTCGTGTATGCCGCCACCTTTTGAAACGCAGCCGGAATAATAACCTAGGATGCAATGGCTCGAACTTAGGCTAGCAGCACAGTCGTGCAGATTGCCGATAAACTTTGGTCTCTCGGCTGTTAACCATGGAACTCTCTTCTAAACTCAGTTGTCTGCACCCCCACCTTAAACATTTTCAATAAAAAAAACATCTGTGTATCGCCTTCAACTCCCCACACTTTGTCACATGAAGTGATATGATGGAAGATATCACGGTGAACAACCTTCTGTGGAATTACTATTCACGCTGGTGCACGTAGTTCGGTGAAGGTGGGTGAGCAGTCCGACTGTTATTTGCATGAGGCGTTAGCAATAGTAAACCGTCGCGCTATTTTGCTTGGCACCATACCATTTCAACAACCTTGCAACTTTGGTCTTCGGATGCATAGGCTTTGCTTTTGAGCATCTCTCCCTAACCCATCAACGAAACTTGTTGGTTGCCTTTTTTCCTAGTGGTTGCAACCGATCACTATGCTGATTGTAGAGTCTATCATTACGGGCGGCCTGCGCGTGATATTTATCAATGTTGCTCTGATGTGTATTTTGTTTCGTTGCTACAGTTCATTTCGTTTGCTGGCACCAACGTGCTGTTTTTTAAAGCATTTTCTGCCGGGATATGTAGACGCGTTCAGGCGCAAAAGATACGACACATCATTCAACGTTGGTCAAAGAAGCCTGTAGACTTTGTGATTATTGTCTTTGCTTAACTTTGATGAACTAACGTTTCCTCGAAAACCTTTAACCTCACTGGATTTTATGCATTCAGAGGGTACGTCCACAAGCTCGCATTACTTAGAGGGGGCAAATTTTTATTAACGGTTCTCTATAAACCGCTGATTATGCTGATCGTTCGACATCGGTAAAAAATATTTGCCATATAATCCGTGTGAAGTCGCACACGTTTTTAGACGGGCCGGCGACAGAGTCTGGGGGCGATTTTCTTAATCCATTTCAATGTTAAGTTCACATCTGGTGTCCGTGTGGTTGAGCGTAGTTTCAAGGCCTGAGTAGATGAGGTAAAGCAGAGTAGACGTATTCTGTGGTGCTGAATTGAATCCATTTTGAACGTAGCTTGTGGACGCCAATTCTGCCATGCATCTCACATGAAATAGGATACACGGCTGTTTCAGAATTCTTTACAGCTCACTAGTGTTTCTTATTCACAATGACCACCTCCTTGCCACTGGGCTCAATCTCGTTAGCTGAAAACAGCATAAATCAGCTGTTCAACTGAGCGCTTTACGTCAAGTTATTCGGTTGCCTTAGTCGCTAATAGAGTTTGAGAGAGACACTATTGGGGCCACATAAACGAAACATGCTGGCTATCTGATCAGCGCTTTATGTCTATTACTTTCTTTACAGAGCAAGGAAAGGGAAATTTCGATGGATATGAAACGGAAGACGTTGGCTTCGGTCGAGGAGTAAGTGCAAATTATCATACATGGTTTCCTTCTTTTCCTCTTTTCCCTTTCTTGCGGCCATTCGCTCAAATGTTTCCCTATTGTAATCATGCTTACCATCACCTGTTTAGGCATCAGGTCACTTGGAAGTTCCATCAGTGTAACAAAAACGAAATGATAGCACCGAAGTTCTTCTGATATATCTCCTTAACTGATGGTCGCTCAAGACATCCATTACAACCTAGTCCTCATCAAGTATCCTAATAGGTTTGAGGTTACGTGTAAAAGCACTTTATGCGCTTCAAATACTCGTTAGCCTTCAATTCTTCGTCTGTTTAGGCGAGCTCGTCTTTGTCCATAAAGGTGTAGATGGCCAATGTTTCGGTTTCTTCGGCGCATCTATCACCTTAGTTATAAAGGGCAGCCTTATATACATACAGTAAGACTGTGCAACTAGCTATTTCACGAAGGAATCACGTTGGTAAGCTACACAGCACGATCCATTTTATCATAGAAGGGTGCAATAATAGGTGGCATGTTCAGTAGTGCTGACGTACATCAACAATGGTGATCAGCATTGCACCCATTCGGTTTCTAGATTTCTCAACCACTGTGAAGAAGTAACCCAACGGTTGTGAACCCGATCTTTGTTCCCTTTTCAGGCCCCAGTGTATCGAGCTGCAGGTCACACAGAGGCGCCAAAGAGGCTTCAAATGTCCCTGGTCGTCTGTCTCGCTATCGTTGGTTTCGTATTCATTCTCAGTGTAATTTACGCGATCCACGTTGGTTGTAATCGGTTTCGATTACACGAGGCGGAAAACGATGCACAACGAAGGACATTGCTTTCTTCTGAACAATTGAATAGCTCATGGAGAACAGAGAAACTCAAGCACACTGGAAACAATTTATTGGAAAAGATCAAGCCCTTTGTTCGACTGAAGACAGACAACAGATCGATGTTGGGCAACGAAGGACCGAGGCAAACGAGGGCGCAGAGTTGTTTCGAGGACAACAACGCCATCACAGCAGCACCAACCTCAACTAGCTCAACTTCGGTAAGCTTCGACTGGTGCAAATGTTAAGTGGTACACATTTTTGAAGTGCATCAGGCGATTGTTTCAGTGCTGAGTTGAAGAGTGCCCATGTGGCGAAAAATGCTATGCAGCCTAGTTAAAATAGCCGATTACTTAAAACACTATATTGTTAGACAACTGAGGCGGACTGGTGTACAACAAGGTGACAATCCTTTTTCTGTACCTTGTTCCCGACAGATTTACAGACGTAGCATGTAATAGACACTATTTGGTGATGCCAGAATGGACTCACTGGGTACTAATGCACCACACAACATCTAATCGCTTGGGTTTATTCAACATTTAGAGTGCCTCTAGTGTAGGGGTCACATAACTTTAGCGTTCGTTGCATCCAAACCACGTCTAGCTTATGCATACCAAATTTTAGCGTCCAGTAGATGTGTCCGAAAAGTTTTATGCCTTAGATTTGACCAAACATTTTCGATGGTTGGTGATAAGTAACTAATCAAATAACACAAGTGGACGGAATCATGTTTGTAATGTTCCATACTTGTTCCAGTTCAACGTTGCACTGTACAATAATCAATGGCCCTCCACTACGCTTTAATGGGAACCACAATGCCAGCTCTCACTTCCACGCAATTCGCTACAAGATCGCTTGCATTATTTTCATTTCGGTGGCTATCTGACCGTGAAAGAATCGTTTACCGACAGTCGGTCTCCATGCGACCGTGACTTCTGATCCCCACAACGGTTATATCAGATTGGTTCTATTCACATCGATCTCCTGTCTGATGTTTCCTGATTTTCAGCGACCACAATGATTTCTGACGGTACTGCAGGTGGCAATCATACTCCAAAATGTATCTCACGTCCCTAATACGGAATATGTAATGTCGTCATGGATGATATCATTGAGCACCAGTTGGAGGTTATGTCACACATGGAGATCGTATCAAAGGTTTACTTGTTCTGGTCACCCAGATTAATCTTAATCGTGAAATAAGAGCAAGTGGTAAACTCACAGCGGACTTATGCCGGCTAAGGAATAGAACTACTGTTTGTTTTTGTCACCATTTTTATAAGCTGAATGTGAAACCCAATGGTGTGGTTTCTGCTCACGTAGATGAAACCTCTGACGATGACTGATACTCCATGAACGATAGCGGTAATCAAATCTTACAGCACTGCTAAAGCAAACTAAGAGAATGCATTTTTGAGCGTTCCGAAAATGGTTCTGCCCAATATTCATCAGACATTCACTTTTTTAGTTAGTAGAAAAGAGGCTTTTCAGCGCCTCCAGTTTCTCGCTCATACCGTTTCACCGCTCGTGAGTACGAGCAGTAAACTGGTTTCAAAAGAAACTAGCCATGTGTGTGCTAAATCCCACTAGGGATGTATTGCCCACTGGAAAGTCATTTTTAGTATGAAACTTCGCTGAAATAATACGTGACGATGGGGTTGATCCTACAGTCTTGTAAGTTAAAGACCGTGCATGGATAGTCCCGAAGAGCTTAAAAGAGGCAGGGAATTGGGAACATGGAAAAAGTTATTTCTTGGGATTCTCAGCTGATCGACATGTCAGAGGTGTAAGTTATACTTGCTGCATTATAAACACGAATTCTTCTTTAAGTGTATTTAAATCAGGCACCATTAGATTTATCAATTTTTTTCGCATCAGATTCCCTTCGGTGCCGTGGGACAAACATGCACTGTCGTTTCCTACTGGTGAACTGAGTGGTGTCACATAAATCCCCTCACGATGTTGTGATACGGCTAGTCCCGTGTGAACCTGGGGGTGAACAATTTTTCAACTCATATCAAGTCGAGAAATTAGTTTATGCAGTCTGGGAGGGTGAATATTCAGCTGCGAAACACATGATCTCAGCAGTCCATCAAACGACAACTCAGGAAAAATACCATAAAAAGCGATTAATGAAGAATAAACAGAAACGCTATCATATTGCGAATTGGCTGGTTAGTTGCAGAACGCCAGGGTTGGTGTCTAGCAAAAACGCGAAAGATAAAAGGATAACTGACATGCGACAGGCTTGTGTGCGAGTATATATCAACTTATACTTTTGGCCAGACGAATTTGATAAAGATTCATCTAAAGCGTTATGTAGGGGATGACTTGTATCTGCCAGTGTATTTGACACCCATTTCTTACGAGTAGTAATGTGTGTGGACAAGTATATTGATAAAGCATCGGAACGTCGCTACCTCAGGATAAATGCCTTAGTGCCCTAACAACTAAAGTGTGAAAGATCACAGGGGAGCAGTACGTCCGGTGGGGAAGGACACAGGCATTGGCAAAGCGAAGGACTAACTGTCGAGCGACGAGGAGACTGTTAGCCGAGAGGAGCAGAACGACAACCTTCTGACTTTGTGAATGTTACATTTACATGAATAGTCTAACCTAAATCAGTGTTCAGTACCACACCTATGTACTTCACCGATGTATGGAGCTTGTGGCACTGCGTAAGGAGCTGTGCGTACTTGGCTACCCTGTGTAATGAAAAAGAAAACCATAACCGTTTGAAGCATTAAGAGACGGATTACGAACATTGGACCAAACATTAACATCGTTCAGAAGATCATGCAACCTTAGTGAGCAATCTGCTATCCGATGATTGATACTCAGGACGATGTTGTCAGTAAACGTCTTCTTCAGGGACTGGTACATGGCCGACATAAGTAGACAAGAGAAAAGGTGACAGAATTACTCTCTAACGGACACCAGTTTTGTTGATTTATGGTCAGGAACATCTGCCATTAAGTCAGGTAAGCTGTGTGTCCAACAATTAATAATGGGTATATTCTCAAGTAGGTGAGGCACGGCCATGCTAAGCCGCCCCGATCATAGGTACAAAGGAAATGCAGAATTACTTTACAAAATCGCTGTACAAAAACACTTGTGGTTCCAATTCCATTGGTTTTTGCGCCCTTGGTTTCCTTTAAAAATGCGTCGACATCCACGACGAGTGCTAAAGTTTCAGGTACGTTCAAGCGGATGGTTGGGAAATGAAAACAAAATAGCAAAGTTTTAAGTGGTGAGCGACAATAGGTACATGGAAAATGGAATTTAACTTTTCATAACATTGCTATATAAGAATAATTTTGCATAGTGAACTTGTGTGAGCGGACATGATAACACAACAGACTGTAAAACTGAGAACTATATCCATCATAAAACATAGAAATTAGAATCAACGAAGTATCTGACAAAAGAGGTAAGATGTGATAACACATGGCAAGTGGAATTGCCTACCTTAATTTGGTGGGTTATTTGCGACCATCAGCAATTCACCCTTCCAGTGGATCCATATCTTTCATTTAGCAGTGTAATAAAAGGAAGCACTACATGAATGAGAAGGAAAAAGCTTGCTTATCCAACCCATCAATGTGCGCGTGTATTTCAAATGCCATCAGTGCGTCTTCAGGTAGTGTAGATGAAGCAGTGTAGGTGAAGAAAAAATCGAAGCTAAACCCCATATATCCAACTCATCGATGTGCCCATGTTTTCTTAGGTCACCAACGGACCATCAAAGTGTGTAACACTAAGCATTTCAAAAGCATAGACTAAAAGAAAGTCAGATATATCTCATTTGTCCAACTTATCGATGTACTAATGTTTTCAAAGGCCACCGGTGAGTCATCATTTTGAGTAATACCGATGGGTGTGACAAGGTAGGAGGAAGGAATGCGAGACAAATCTAAGTTACCTAGCAAAAAATCTTCATGACGAGGGAACACTGTATTTCACGTTGTCTCTGCAAGCCCTACTTGCCATATTTAGCTACACTTTTATATTGCGAACTCCGCAAGTGCTTGGATGTTATCAGACACGTTCTCGTACACCCATTCGTCTGTGCAACTGACACGAAACAGTTCTTTAACTTTATTAACAGTTAAGTACTCTTTTAGTTGCACCTTAAATGTTCGAAGCGAAGAGGTACTTCTGACGATCTGAGGCAATCGATTCCATGACCTGGGATACTTATGTTTAAAGCTGTTGTACGGCAGAAATGTGCGGCAATGAGGTAGTTTTATCACACCGTTCATGTTCCTTAGGTCATACGGTGAAGGTTCTTGCAACACCGGCTGATAGTAACTCGTGTATGTTAGTCGATGAACAGTTTTGAGTAATAGACCTAAATTCAGCCGTAATCTTCGAAGCCAAAGCGGTTCGATTTTTAACAAATGACCTCTATCTTTATAAGTGACCTTAGAGGTGCAGTCCTCGATTCTTTTGGTAATCTACCTTTGTGTAGCTTCGTATCTATTGATGCTAGTAAAAGTGATGGCACAGTATGCTAATAATGGTCTGGCGTACAGTTTGTATGACAGGCGCTTAACATCGCTTGTTAGAAAAAGCCGCCTAGCATACCAATAGTCTGTCAGGTTTTAGTCACCGTATACTCAACTTGTTATTTGTAATTCAATGTCACGGAGTCACGGAGACCTAAGCCACGTATCGATACGCATAAAGCCAGTGGGATTCCATGCAAAAAGAAACATTCGGGTGGAACCAAGCGTCCATGGCACATAATGTTGCCTTTAGATGTTGAAAATTTCATGGAAAATCCGACACACGAGTCTTCCAGGAAACTAGGTCACTTTGGATCGCAGATATAAAATACGGAGCCTGAGAGTCAGCAGTATAGAAAATTTTTATAGCATCTGCAAACAAATAAAGTCTAGCATACCATTGCAGAGAAATGCTCATTAACATATATCAAAAAAGAGAGGGCCGAGTACACTACCTTGTATCACGCCACTAGTAATATCTCTTGTTTTCGACAGATACACATCTATCTTGACTCTCTGTTTTCGATCAGTGATGTAAGCTTCTAACCAGGATGGTACTAAGCCTGCGGTTCCACAAAGGCGAAGTATATGTATAAGCGTGCTGGGCGAAAACCCGTGAAAGGCTTTCTGAACGTCCAAGTGGAGTACGATACAGGCCTTACCAGAGTCTGTCGATTTTGTTAAGTGATCAAAGAACTCTAGCTGGCAAA